TCTGTGGGTTTATGGGTCTGTGGGTCTGTGAGTCTGTATGAGTCTGTGGGTTTATGGGTCTGTGGGGTCTGTGGGTCTATGGGTCTGTGGGTCTGTGGGTCTGTGGGGTCTGTGGGTCTATGGGTCTGTGGGTCTGTGGGTTCTGTGGGTCTATGGGTCTGTGGGGTCTGTGGGTTTATGGGTCTGTGGGTTTGTGGATCTATGGGTCTGTGGGTTCTGTGGGTCTATGGGTCTGTAGGTCTGTGGGTCTGTGGGTCTGTGAGTCTGTGGGTCTATGGGTCTGTGGGGTCTGTGGGTCTATTGGTCTCTGGGTCTGTGAGTCTGTGGGTCTGTGAATCTGTGGGTCTGTGGGTCTGTGAGTCTATGGGTCTGTGGGTCTGGAGTCTGTGGGTCTGTAGAGTCTGTGGGTCTGTAGAGTCTGTGGGTTTGTGAGTCTGTGGGTTTATGGGTCTGTGGGTCTGTGGGTTTGTCGGTCTATGGGTCTGTGGGGTTTGTAGGTCTGTGAGTCTGTGGGTCTGTGGAGTCTGTGGGTTTGTGGGTCTGTGAGTCTGTGGGTCTGTGAAGTCTGTGGGTCTGTGAATCTGTGGGTCTGGAGTCTGTGGGTCTGCAGAGTCTGTGGGTCTGTGAGTCTGTGGGTCTGTGGGTCTGTGAGTCTGTGGGTCTGTGGGTCTGTGGGGTTTATTGGGGTCTGTGGGTCTATTGGTCTGTGGGTCTGTGGGTCTGTGGTCTGTGGGGTCTGTGGGTCTGTGGGTCTGTGGGTCTGTGGGTCTCTGTGGTTCTGTGGGTCTGTGGGGTCTGTGGGTCTGTGGTTCTGTGGGTCTGTGGGTCTGTGGGTCTGTGGGTCTGTGGGTCTGTGGGTCTGTGGGGTTTATTGGGGTCTGTGGGTCTATTGGTCTGTGGCTCTGTGGGTCTGTGGTCTGTGGGTCTGTGGGTCTCTGGTCTGTGGGTCTGTGGGTCTCTGGTTCTGTGGGTCTGTGGGTCTGTGGGTCTGTGGGTCTGTGGTCTGGGTCTGTGGGTCGTCTGTGGGTCTGTGGGTCTGTGGGTCTGTGGGTCTGTGTCTGTGGGTCTGTGGGTCTGTGGGTCTAGTCTGTGGGTCTGAGTCTGTGGTCTGTGGTCTGTGGGTCTGTGGGTCTGTGGGTCTGTGGGTCTGTGGGTCTGTGGGTCTATGGGTCTGTGGGTCTCTGGTTCTGTGTCTGTGGTCTCTGGTTCTGTGGGTCTGTGGGTCTCTGTCTGTGGGTCTGTGGGTCTGTGGTCTGTGGGTCTGTGATCTGTGGTCTGTGGGTCTGTGGTCTGTGGGTCTGTGGGTCTGTGGGTCTCTGTGGGTCTATGGTCTGTGGGTCTGTGGTCTGTGGTTCTGTGGGTCTGTGGGTCTCTGGCTCTGTGGGTCTGTGGGTCTCTGGTTCTGTGGGTCTGTGGGTTCTGTGGGTCTGTGGGTCTCTGGTTCTGTGGTCTGTGGTCTGTGGGTCTCTGGTTCTGTGGGTCTGTGGGTCTCTGGTTCTGTGGGTCTGTGGGTCTGTGGTTCAGTTCCTGGAGGGCCCCGGTCTTGAGGCCCTCTTCTATTTCTGGGAGGTGACTCGGTGACTGGGAGTGACGTGGAGAGACGTGGAGCCGGGGGTCTGGGCTCTGGGCTCTGGGCTCTGGCGCGGCGTCTGTCTCTGATAGTCGTATCGCTCGGGGCTTTTAGGCAGGAGTCGGGCCGTTTACGCGCCGACGCCAGAGCCGTTATCAGGCCGACTTCAGATTAGCTCATAATGAGCATCCTCCGACCGGGAAGTGAGGGGCTCCTGAGAACAACAACAAGTCGAGCTGCTGAGAGATCTGAGTTTGGACGTCGCCATGGAGACCGGACGATCAGTCTTCACCAGAACAGCAGAACAGGCCCCAACGAAGCGCCCCCCGAACACTCCTGACCCCCCACCCGAACACTCCTGACCCCCCACCCGAACACTCCTGACCCTCCACCCGAACACTCCTGACCCCCCACCCGAACACTCCTGACCCCCCACAGACTAGTAGTAGTAGTAGTAGTAGTAGTAGTAGTAGTAGTAGTAGTAGTAGTAGTTTAGTTTATTTTCTTCAGTTGTGTTTTTAATCATGTTTTACACATTTCACATCAAACTCAGACCAGAGGAGTTTGGGCTGAAGTGAAATCACTGAATGTCTGACTCTGTTTACTCTGTGAACAAACAACAAGAACAACTCGAAAACTACTGAGAAAAGAGAAAAAATAAATAAATAAAAATCATCAACATTTATCCCAGACACACTGACCTGCTTCTGTTGCCTCGTCTTTTTATTTCTCTGTACAACAAGAATATTTCTTTAAATCGTTCTAGTGCTCTGGATTTGTCTATAGAATTAAATTTTTTTTTTTTTTTTTTTTTTTAATGCCTTAATTGATGTCGGTTCTTTTAACCATCATCAAGACTCCTCCACAGATCCTAGACTTGTTTTTGTTTTTTTGATAAACTCCTGTTCTCTGGGACCCCCCAAACACTCATGACCCCCGGACCTACAGAGAGAGAATATTTATATAATTATAATAATAAAATAATAAAATAATATTAACAATATTCTTCTGACTCACAGTTTGTTCTGCAGGCGTCGCTCAAACACTCACTGAAATAATCCTTTTACTCTAATGATAAATAAATAAAACTTTTACTTTAACACAACATAACATAAGGACATAAGGAGTTGTTGTACAGTTGTAGGGAGTATTATCTGTGACATAAGGGTGAGTTGTTGTACAGTTGTAGGGAGTATTATCTGTGACATAAAGGTGAGTTGTTGTACAGTTGTAGGGAGTATTATCTGTGACATAAGAGTGAGTTGTTGTACAGTTGTAGGGAGTATTATTTGTGACATAAGGATGAGTTGTACAGTTGTAGGGAGTATTATCTGTTACATAAGGGTGAGTTGTTGTACAGTTGTAGGGAGTATTATCTGTGACATAAGGGTGAGTTGTTGTACAGTTAGTAGGGAGTATTATCTGTGACATAAGGGTGAGTTGTTGTACAGTTGTAGGGAGTATTATCTGTGACATAAGGGTGAGTTGTTGTACAGTTGTAGGGAGTATTATCTGTGACATAAGGGTGAGTTGTTGTACAGTTGTAGGGAGTATTATCTGTGACATAAGGGTGAGTTGTTGTACAGTTGTAGGGAGTATTATCTGTGACATAAGGATGAGTTGTACAGTTGTAGGGAGTATTATCTGTGACATAAGGGTGAGTTGTTGTACAGTTGTAGGGAGTATTATCTGTGACATAAGAGTGAGTTGTTGTACAGTTGTAGGGAGTATTATCTGTGACATAAGAGTGAGTTGTTGTACAGTTGTAGGGAGTATTATCTGTGACATAAGGAGTGAGTTGTTGTACAGTTGTAGGGAGTATTATCTGTTACATAAGAGTGAGTTGTTGTACAGTTGTAGGGAGTATTATCTGTGACATAAGGGTGAGTTGTAGTACAGTTTCCCAGGGTGTTGTGGGGTTTTTTTGTGGGGTTTTTTTTGTAGATCTTTTTCTCTTCAGTTTTCATATTTGGTCGGTTCAGATTCATTTAAATTGTTTAATTGAACTTTTCTTATTCTGAGTTTTTTCTTCTGTTTGACGACTTGACTGAAGCTCCAGGGACAGAGACATGGACAGAGACATGGACAGGGTTTAGGACAAGGTTAGGGTCAGGATGAGGGTTTGGGACGGTGTCAGGGTTTGGGTCATGGACAAGGGTCAGTGACAGGGAGGGTCAGTGTCAGGGACAGTGTCAGGGACAGTGTCAGGGACAGTGACAGGGACAGTGTCAGGGACAGTGTCAGGGACAGTGACAGGGTGACAGGGACAGGGTCAGGGACAGGGTTTGGGACAGATTCAGGATTATCACAAGATCTTCATTCTCTGGACTCTGACTGTGGCTCTTTCCTCTGACTCTGGTTGCGGCTCTTTTTGGCTCTGGAGTGTGTGGAGTGTGTGTCGTGTGTGTGTGTGGAGTGTGTGAAGTGTGTGTGTGTGGAGTGTGTGGAGTGTGTAGTGTGTGTGGAGTGTGTGGAGTGTGTGAAGTGTGTGTGTGGAGTGTGTGTGTGTGTAGTGTGTGTCGTGTGTGTGTGTGGAGTGTGTGCAGTGTGCAGAGTGTGTGTTTCCGTGTGTTCGGGGCCGGAGTTGAGGCGCGCGGAGCTTCGTTCTGTGTTTCATTCATCACTTGTTAAACTCTTCGGTGTTGGGTGTGACTTTATCATCGGGGGGCGGGGCCTACGCGGCTCTCAGCCAATCAGAGCCGGTAACCTCTGCGCTCGGCCAATCAGAGCCGAGTGTGCCGGAGCTGCGCTGGAGTGGATCATGTTCTCGGGTGGGCGGGGCGCGCGCGTACGGAGCTGGAGTTTAACTCTTCCGTGACATCTTCACGAACAACAACAGCAACAAGTGGATCCACCGCAGCCTCCGCGGAAAAACTGAACAACAAAAAACAAACTATAAAAACTTTTTTGATTTGTACAAATCTGTGACATAAAAACACGTGTCCCACAGTCCGTGAGCTGCGTGGACAGTCCCACAGTCCTCGTGTTTTTACTGGAGGATTGTGTGTATTGGCTCGTGCACAGTGTCTATATTTGACTTTATTGATTAATTTCTCCGTGTCCAGTTCCACGCGGCGTGGGTTTTGCGCGCGTGCGTCCGCGCGCCGCGTTTGTTGCGTCATAAACTTGATTTCCTTCGGTCCGTAGATTCAGCAGCAAAAGACTCGGCTCTTTTAACATAAATATAAAGTTCCTTCATAATTCAGATGATTAAAGAATGTTCCGTGGGCCGGTGTCCCGCGTGTCCTCGGGCTCGTGTCCTCGGGCTCGTGCGCGTGTCCCGCTCAGGACAAATGGACAAAGTTGGTTTGGAGTTTGGAGTTTGGTGTTTTCTCCTTTAAGAGTTAAGAAACTCGAAACCTTGTTTGCGCAACAGTCAGTGCAGCTCCCAGCCGCCAAAGTGTCTAGACTAGCACATGATGGGAGTCAGCCAATGGCTCCAGCGCTCTCCTTGGGGGCCCCGCGCGCGTGTGTCTGTGTGTGCGCGCGTGCGTGTGAGGAAGAGGGGCAAAAGGAAAAGAGAGAAAACGCTGAAAGAAGAGGCTGTGCGCTGGAGTTTGGCGGAGAACGAAGCTGGACGTTTCGGATTTGAGACTCAGACATTTCCCCGGGACCCGCCGCGCGCTGCACGGCTCTTTTACGGCTCTTTTACGGCTCTTTTACGGCTCTTTTTCAGGATTAAACCCTCCGCGGTCCGGTCTGCGCCGAACAAAGTAGTTTGGAGCTTTAAATCTCCGCTCGGTGCCGTGTTGCGCCCTGGGCCACTCGGTTTGGATCTGGTGGAGTTTTTGTTCGTCGCTCTCGGTTGTTTTTGGGTCTCGGAGATGTTTTTTCGCTTTAAATCGCTGCTTTGTGCGTGAATGTGCGTGGATCGCAATGCTGCAGCTTGTTTTTTCTCCCGTTTTGTTTTAGACCAACTCCACTTAATGTGGAGGCTCCGCTGCTCGCGCGCTGGCTGTGCACGCGTGCACGGCATTCCTCTCTCATTCATGTTTGGCACCGAGCGTCTCCACATCAGTTGTTTCAGGATCGGCTCATTACACGAGAGTAAACGCCATTTCTAGACTCGAAGTTGTCGTATGTTCAGGACGAAACGCTCGGGTCTTGTCCGGCGACTCTGGAGAAGCCGTTTGGTCCCAGACCGAGACACCGAGGACAATGGAGGAGACACCGACGAGCTGTGCGCGACCAACCCGGAGAAGATTCCCAAAACGGAGTTCCGAACGATGACCCCCGGCGGCTCTCCCGTGCGGCCCGCGGGGGACGGGGGCGCCCCGGGGGGGCCCGCGGACCGAGGCGGGGGCGCGCCGAGCCCCCAGGGCCGGGACCGCGAGAGCGAGACCGTCACGTGCTGCTTGTTCAAAGACAGGGACCACCCCGAGCCCCCGGGGGACCCGGGCTCGTGCCAACTCACCCGGGGGACCCCGCGGGACGCGCCGCCGGAGCAGGAGCTGAAGACCGCGGCTCACTGCCTCCTGAAGCGGCTCAAGGAGCGGGCTCTGGACGCGCTGCTGGAGGCGGTGGAGTCGGGAGGAGGCGTGCCCAGCGACTGCGTGATGGTGTCCCGCACGGAGCTGCGTGTGGCCGGTCACGCCGCGTCCCCGCCGCTGCTCGTGTGTAAACTGTACCGCTGGGCGGATCTGACGCACGAGGCCCAACTCAAAGCTCTGCGGGAGTGCGCGAGCTTCGGGCTTCAGGACGAAGCCTCCGTGTGCTGCAACCCGTACCACTACAGCCGCCTGTGCGGGCCCGGTGAGCCGATACTCGATACACGATACACGATACACGATACATGATACACAACACAACCCGTACCTCTACAGCCGCCTGTGCGGGCCCGGTGAGACTTCGGCCTGAGGGCTGCACAACACACGAGATACGATACACATCACAGCTCTCAGCTCTGGGGTGGTGTGTCCTGCAGTTGAGGACAGGTCCAGTAGGACAGAGCTGTGGATCTGAGTCTCAGTGACAGGGTGGACCATGGACCATGGACCGTGGACCTGTGGACCATGGGGACCATGGACCGTGGACTGTGGACCATGGACCATGGACCGTGGTCCAGGAGCTGAAGTTCTGATCTGTAGCTCTGGTGTTGTTGTTGTTGGCCACAGTGAAGCTCTGGTTTAAATCTTTTCTGTGACCCGGAGCTCGGACTGAGCTCAGTCACACTCCTGCGGGACCTGACCCGGGCACACAACAACTGCACCATGTTTGTGTAACTGGAATCACAAGAGGAGCTCCTGGTCCAGATCCATGTGCCCTGCTCCAGTGGGCAGGACAGTGGGCATAGAGGTGATGGTCGGTGTGGTGGGCAGAGGGGAGGGGGCAGTGATCTGGCACACCCCGGCACACGGGTCACTTGACCCCGGTGACCCGGCTGACCTGCTGTCGGCCTGGATCATGTGCAGAGGCGTGTGTCAGTATTTCTGTCTCTCACTGGCACCGGAGCTGGAATTTCCATAACATCCATATTTACTAGAGCCAACTGGCAGCAGCTCCTCCGCCAGAACGCCAACTATATCAGGACCATCTCAGCAGAACCGGGACTCTGGGCCACAGCAGAACCGGGACTCTGGGCCACAGCAGAACCGGGACTCTGGGCCACAGCAGAACCGGGACTCTGGGTCACAGCAGAACCGGGACTCTGGGTCTCAGAGTCTTTTGATCCACTTCTGGTTCTGTGTTTGGGGAAATATTCGCTGCACTTTTTCTTTGTGAACCTCAGATCTTTCTGGTTGTTTTTTTGTCTGTGTCAGATTTGAGCCGTAAAAGTTTGAATGAAAATCGTCTCTGACTCGTTACAAAACTGAAGCTCTGCAGTTTCATTCTGTTGTTGAGTTTCATGATTTAAAAATGATTCTAGATTCAGATTCTGAGGTTTGTGTGTTTGTGGCTTCAGCTGCAGTTTCATCGTTTATCGTCTGGATTTACTTCATCGATATATCGATATATCGAACTTCAGAGTGACGTGACAGGAGCTGTGCACACGTACACACGCACACACGCACACACGTACACACGTACACACGTACACACGTACACATGTACACATGTATACATGTACACATATGCATACGTACACATATGCACATGTACACACGTACACACGTACACACATACACACGTACACACGTACACATGTACACATGTACACATGTACACATATGCACACACACGTACACATGTACACATGTACACATATGCACACGTACACATGTACACACGTACACACGTACACATGTACACATGTACACATGTACACATACACACATGTACACATGTACACATGTACACATGTACACACGTACACATGTACACATATGCACACGTACACATGTACACATGTATGCACACGTACACACGTACACATGTACACATGTACACATATGGTACACACGTACACATGTACACATGTACACATGTACACATATGCACACGTACACATGTACACATGTACACATATGTACACACGTACACATGTACACATGTACACATGTACACATATGCACACGTACACATGTACACATGTACACATGTACACATGTACACATATGCACACGTACACACGTACACATGTACACATATGCACACGTACACATGTACACACGTACACATGTACACATGTACACATATGCACACGTACACATATGTACACATGTACACATATGCACACGTACACATGTACACACGTACACATGTACACATATGCACACGTACACATGTGCACACGTACACATGTACACATGTACACATATGCACACGTACACATGTACACACGTACACACGTACACATGTACACACGTACACATGTACACACGTCCACATGTACACATGTACACATATGCACACGTACACATGTGCACACGTACACATGTACACATGTACACATATGCATACGTACACATATGCACACGTACACATGTACACACGTATACATGTACACATGTACACATGTACACATATGCACACGTACACATGTACACACGTACACACGTACACACGTCCACATGTACACATGTACACATATGCACACGTACACATGTACACACGTCCACATGTACACATGTACACACGTACACATGTACACACGTACACATGTACACACGTACACATGTACACATATGCACACGTACACACGTACACATGTACACACGTACACATATGCACACGTACACACGTACACATGTACACATATGCACACGTACACACGTACACTGATCAGACCAGAACCTTTCACTACGAAATGTAATGTCCCTGCAGTGTGCAGAGGGCAGTGTGTAAAGGGCAGTGTGCAGAGGGCAGTGTGCAAAGGGCAGTGTGCAGAGGGCAGTGTGCAAAGGGCAGTGTGCAGAGGGCAGTGTGCAAGTCCTGTCACATAAGAGGTCATACACATAGCTGCCAGTTGCTGATGTGTGTTGTGCATGTGCGTGTGTGTTGTGTGTTTGTGTGTGTGTGTGTGTGTGTGTGTGTGTCTTGTGTGTGTTGTGTGTTTGTGTGTGTGTGTGTGTGTGTGTGTGTGTGTGTGTGTTGTATGTTGTGTGTGTGTGTGTGTTGTATGTTGTGTGTGTGTGTTGTGTGTGTTGTTGTGTGTTGTGTGTGTTGTGTGTTTGTGTGTGTGTGTGTGTGTGTGTTGTGTGTGTGTGTCTTGTGTTGTGTAGTGTTGTGTTGTGTTGTGTTGTGTAGTGTTGTGTAGTGTTGTGTGTGTGTAGTGTAGTGTTGTGTAGTGTTGTGTTGTGTAGTGTTGTGTAGTGTTGTGTAGTGTTGTGTTGTGTAGTGTGTAGTGTTGTGTAGTGTGTGTTGTGTTGTGTAGTGTAGTGTTGTGTTGTTGTGTAGTGTGTGTGTAGTGTTGTGTAGTGTGTGTAGTGTTGTGTGTGTGTGTAGTGTAGTGTGTGTGTTGTGTAGTGTAGTGTGTGTGTGTTGTGTAGTGTTGTAGTGTTGTGTGTGTAGTGTTGTGTAGTGTTGTGTGTAGTGTTGTGTTGTGTGTAGTGTGTGTGTTGTAGTGTGTGTGTGTTGTGTAGTGTAGTGTAGTGTAGTGTTGTGTAGTGTGTGTGTGTGTTGTGTTGTGTAGTGTGTTGTGTAGTGTTGTGTAGTGTTGTGTGTGTTGTGTAGTGTTGTGTAGTGTTGTGTAGTGTTGTGTGTGTAGTGTTGTGTTGTGTAGTGTGTGTGTGTGTGTGTGTTGTGTAGTGTTGTGTAGTGTTGTGTAGTGTTGTGTGTAGTGTTGTGTTGTGTTAGTGTAGTGTTGTGTAGTGTTGTGTAGTGTGTGTAGTGTAGTGTGTGTAGTGTAGTGTTGTGTAGTGTTGTGTAGTGTGTGTAGTGTTGTGTTGTGTAGTGTTGTGTAGTGTGTGTGTGTTGTGTTGTGTTGTGTTGTGTAGTGTTGTGTGTGTAGTGTTGTGTAGTGTTGTGTTGTGTAGTGTTGTGTGTAGTGTGTGTTGTTGTGTATGTGTTGTGTTGTGTAGTGTTGTGTAGTGTTGTGTAGTGTTGTGTTGTGTAGTGTTGTGTAGTGTTGTGTAGTGTAGTGTGTGTGTGTGTGTAGTGTGTGTTGTAGTGTTGTGTAGTGTTGTGTGTAGTGTTGTGTGTGTAGTGTAGTGTGTTGTGTAGTGTTGTGTATGTGTTGTGTAGTGTTGTGTTGTGTGGTGTAGTTGTGTGTTGTTGTGTAGTGTTGTGTAGTGTAGTGTTGTGTAGTGTTGTGTTGTGTTGTGTAGTGTTGTGTAGTGAACATGTCTAGTTTATTTAGTGTTAAGTGTAAATTCTGCTTTTGTCCAGAAGAGCTCAGTGTGTGTATGTGCACACACAGGTCTGAACACACAGGCCTGAACACACGTCTGTACTGAACACACACTCAACACACACTGAACACACACTCAACACACACTGAACACAGGTCTGAACACACGTCTGTACTGAACACACACTCAACACACACTGAACACACACTCAACACACACTGAACACACACTCAACACACACTGAACACACACTGAACACACACTGAACACACACTGAACACACACTCAACACACACTCAACACACACTGAACACAGGTCTGAACACACGTCTGTACTGAACACACACTCAACACACACTGAACACACACTCAACACACACTGAACACACACTCCACACACACTGAACACACACTCAACACACACTGAACACACACTCCACACACACTGAACACAGGTTTGCTCTGAGCTGGCGCCGCTCTGACTCTGACCATCTGAGCCACAGAGTTCAGTTCCTGCCAATTACTGCGCCACTCTTAAAGGAGACACACACTTCTCCTCCGCTCCACTCCTCTCTCTCTCTCTCTCCTCTGTCCTTCTCTCTCTCTCTCTCTTTCCCCTCTTCTCTCTACTCTGCTTTTCTGTCTCCTCTCTGCTTCTCCTCCTTTCTCTCTCTCTCTCTTACTCCTATTCTCGTGAATACTGCGCTCACTCTTAAAGGAGACACACACTTCTCCTCCGCTCCGCTCCACTCTCTCTCTCTCTCTCTCTCTCTCTGCTCGTCTCTCTCTCTCTCTCTCTCTCTCTCTCTCTCTCTCTCTCTCTCTCTCTCTCTCTCTCTCTCTCTCTCTCTCTCTCTCTGTCTCTCTCTCTCTCTCTCTCTCTCTCTCTCTCTCTCTCTCTGCTCGTCTCTCTCTCTCTCTCTCTCTCTCTCTCTCTCTCTCTCTCTCTCTCTCTCTGCTCGTTCTCTCTCTCTCTCTCTCTCTCTCTCTCTCTCTCTCTCTCTCTCTGCTCGTTCTCTCTCTCTCTCTCTCTCTCTCTCTTCTCTCTCTCTCTCTCTCTCTCTCTCTCTCTCTCTCTCTCTCTCTCTCTCTCTCTCTCTCTCTCTCTCTCTCTCTCTCTCTCTCTCTCTCTCTCTCTCTCTCTCTCTCTCTCTCTCTCTCTCTCTCTCTCTCTCTCTCTCTCTCTCTCTCTCTCTCTCTCTCTCTCTGCTCGTCTCTCTCTCTCTCTCTCTCTCTCTCTCTCTCTCTCTCTCTCTCTCTCTCTCTCTCTCTCTCTCTCTCTCTCTCTCTCTCTCTCTCTCTCTCTCTCTCTCTCTCTCTCTCTCTCTCTCTCTCTCTCTCTCTCTCTCTGAGGTCACTCTTCGCCTCTGGGCCTCACTTCCTTTGGGGAGTTTTTCTTTTCTGGCAGAGGAGAAGGAAAGAGTTTGTGTTTAAGACGAGCAGAGATCCACGAGTCTTCACACGGACGAATCCAAAACCAAAACTCCCAAATCCAAAACTCTCTCTGTAATAAACCTGTAATAACTGTGTAATAACTGTGTAATAACTGTGTAATAACTGTGTACTGCTGCTGTGTTCCAGAGTCGCCTCCACCTCCGTACTCCAGACTGGCCGTCAGAGAAGACCACAAGCCTCTGGGTGAGTGACTCGTCTGGAATCTTTTGTGTCTTTCGTGTCTTTAGAGTTTTTAGAGTTTTTAGAGTTTTTAGAGTTTTGGCTGCAGATGTTTCGTTCAGACTCATGAGACGAGTTCAGTCACACACAGAGTTTAACGTTTGCACTTTACTGTATTTTGTTTTTACCCTAAAATACTGAATAATCTCCGGGGCGTTTATTTGTTTCAGTCACTTAACAGACCAGGCTTTTATTTGAGACCAGGTGGATATTTGGAGCTGGAGATTAAATCCTTTGTCACAAAAATCTTGCTCAGCAAAATTCGGAAAATCTGGTCCTCAAATTCTTTTAACCAGTCTGACGATAATTCACAGTTTTTAAGCGACGTCCTAGTGGCTCCTTTGTCTTCACCTCGTCTCCTTGTCCTCCGTCTTTCCTCGACCTTTTGTCACGACTTTCCTCTGACGCCGCAGCAGCTCCGATCACATCTCTGCTTCCTCCAGTCGACAAACTCAAGTCATTTTACCAAAACTCCTAAAAACTGCTTCCATTTCCTGCCGCTGTGTTTCTCCATCTTTCTGTTTTACGTCACTTGGAGATCAGGATTTCACAGAGACGTCGTCTGTTCCTCCAGTTTTTCAGTGAAACTCTCTGTGTGTCGCTGCACAAATCATCACATCTTGGTTAAATAAAACACAAACATTTGGAACTGGTGGTTATTTATCCAAATATCCACCTGCTCTCGGTCTTTAAAGGGACTCAGCTGTTAATTGAAATCCAGAAATTATTTGGTATTTTACGTTAAGTCTTATTCTGATGACACAGAGAGAGTTTGTGTTGGTGACTCTTTAATATTTCTCATGTTATAATAATAAGATGTTGTTCACAGTCATTTTGTTCAGTTTCAGTGTAAAATTATCACTACAAAAGTAAATGTTAAAGGTGCAGTGGTGAGAAAAGCTCGACTGAAGAATAAAAACAAAGAGTGAACCAAACAAAGTTCAATATAGAAAAAATCTCTCTCTGTATTATGTAGGTTTGTCGTGAAAACAAATGATGAAGCTCGAAACATCGCTCCAGAGAAATATTGTGAGAAACGATGATACTGAAACGAATTTATTTAGATTTATTTATTGTCATTGTAAGAAATACAACGAAACTTCGACAGAGCAGATCTGTCGCAGTAAAAATGAACAAATAAAGACACATCCTCACATCCATACCAATAAAAAAAATAAAATTAAATTAAAAAAAAAAAATGGCTCTGACATAAAAACAATCAAACAGGAGAATCCAGTGAAACATTTTTAAAGAGACTCGTTAAAAACCTGAAACAGAAAAGAATAATCAGCCACAGAACTGTAAACGTGATAAATACTAAGTCCCAAAATGTCCACATACACAAACCTGTAAATGTTTTGGAGTGAAGTTTCTCAAACTGTGGTGCACGTGCCTCTGGTGGAGTTTAAGTGTTTTATTCAGAGATAAATGTTCATGTTTTTTCTTCCTCCGGGTTCAGCGACGTCCACAGAGACCACACCAGGATCTTTGGACTTTATCAGACCTGATCTCATTTTAGACCAGGTTTAGTCCTGATCCAGACCAGGTTCAGTCCAGGTTCAGTCCAGGTTCAGTCCAGGTTCAGTCCAGGTTCAGTCCAGGTTCAGGAGCACAAATATGAGTTCAGGTGGGACTTTCTGTGAAACGTTTGAGAATCATTGTTGTGGAGGTTTGCATCTCCAGTCGGCTCCTCCTTCTCCTCCTCCTCTTCTCTTTCTCTCCGTCTACGTTCTGGCTCCAGGGCTTAAAGCTCAATTCAGATTTTTTTGTGAAATCAGATTTTTTTTTTTTTTGCGAGCTCGTTCACATTTCCAGTTAAATGTGACATGTGTGTGTCTCCGGTGTCCATGTGCACTGGAGACACGACGTCGTCACACACAGCGAGTGTCTCTGTGTTTACGGACGTCGCCTAAACACGGACGCAGCATCGAGCAGCTGGAGATTTTAAAGCTGCTGTGGAACCGGAGCCAGAACATGAACAGATGATTTGTTTTCAGGAGGAAACTGAGAAGGAGAAGGACGAGGTTTTTGGAGTTTTGTAGAAATGATCGTGTGTGTGCAGAGTCAGACTGTGGAGACACAGAGTCACACACAGTTTTCACCTGACGAGAAGAACGTTTGTGAACATTTGTAACTCGTGTAGGTGGATGAATGTGACTTGGACGTTCAGACTGAAGTCTCATGTTAAAGATCAGATGTGTTTGGGTTTTAGGAGCACAGATCCAAGTGTCCTGAGTCACATTTGAAAAAACTGGATCTGTGTGGTTCAGTCATAAGATTCAGGAGCAAAGGGACAAAAACATCAGATGTGTGTCACTTCAGGCTGAACATAGATTTCTCCTCCTCCTTCTTCTCCTCGTCACTCATGTGTTTCTGTGTTCACAGATCGATCAGACTCCACGGTGTCGTACTCGGAGAGTGAACCGGCAAGTTCACCCAACAGCTCCCCGGGCGACTTCTCAGGTGGGTGTGTCCTTCATGTGTGGGTGTGTCTTTTGTATGTGGGCGTGTCCTTTGTGATGATGATGTGATTCATAATAAAAGTTTTTTTGACGGTTAATGCTCTTTAGCCGCCGCGATGCTTTTTAACTCCTAATGTGTGAAATTTTCAAAAATGTTTATATGAAAAATTAATGGAAACTTTACTGGTCACTGTCGAGCTCCGTAGGTGGGAGTGTCCTGTGTAGGTGTGTCCTTTTTAGTTGTGTCCTTTGTAGGTGTGTCCTTCTTAGTTGTGTCCTTCGTAGATGTGTCCTTCGTAGGAGTGTCCTTCTTCGGTGTGTCCTTTTTAGGTGTGTCCTTCTTACTTGTGTCCTTCATAGGAGTGTCCTTCTTAGGTGTGTCCTTCTTAGTTGTGTCCTTCGTAGGAGTGTCCTTCTTAGTTGTGTCCTTCGTAGGTGTGTCCTTCTTAGTTGTGTCCTTCTTAGTTGTGTCCTTCTTAGTTGTGTCCTTCGTAGGTGTGTCATTTGGACCAGCCTCACACTTGTTTGTCTTGGTCAGTGATGTGGTGGGCAGGTGCAGGGGGCA